TTGAGTTTTTAAAAGTGAAAATACTTTCAATGTTCTTGTTGTTGAAAATTATATTGATTCTTGATACATTATCTTGAAAAGAGTCTTTGGTAATACATGAGAGGTACAATAAGTACAATACTAAATAAATTGAATATTTTGTTGTACAAAAAGGGTACAATATATGATGACAAAGGTAAAAGAGGTTGATACATTTTTGTGAATGCCATAATATAAAAATAATTAATTAGAATTAGTTGTTGTGGAGTTGATTGGTGATGAGACTAAGTGGTTAAGACAATTCTTAGTGTGTATTCCAATTGGAATAAAACCAACTTTTATGTGACTAAATTAGATACATGTGTTTGAGACACAATGTGATAAAAATACTACAGCGAGATGAATTATTTACGTAAATAGATAATGTGTAGTCGAAGGTGAATCTGATCAATTTACTGACTAAATGAAACATCGAGGGGAGTAAGACTTTAGTCAATTTGAGAAGATCAATGATGATGGTAACGCAACCTATGTGATTGGAGATCACATGAATTAGGTTCATATGGGTAACAACAAGTCATTAGTTGATCAAGTAAGCACTATAAAATTATGTCCCTCCTATGATATGTGAATGTAGTGCAACAGTCTGCAAGGCAAAGTGAGGCTAAGTTAAGCTCTTAATCCAAGTCATATCCTTTATAGGTGGTGTATTGCTCTGCAGAATACACTTGATGATTGGACCTATATGAGTGTGCAGTGGTGCCGCTTCTATGAAATTGTGACAAATTTCTAGAGCTCTCATGAATATCAGGACATGCACATGGCCTCTAGTGCAAAACCGTGATAACGATAAAGATTGTGCGAGTATAATGTGATAGAATAAGACGCGGGACTTACAAAAGAATTATTGGTTCATAGAAGTTCTAAACTTCACCAATTATTCTGTAAGTTTAATCTTGTTTTATCTAGGTCTGGTTCATAGTCTACAAACACCAAATTTGATGCATTAGACTAATATATGAAAATCCAACAAAACGTCTTATTTCATTCTATTTATTAATATTCTTTTTGAGATATGTAGGGGATTGTTGAAAAAATGATTCTAGTATCTCAAAAAGAAGTGTTCATATTATTTTCTACATTCATCATCTTAAATGGGTGTTAATATTCTATTAATTATCTTACAAATCAATTTTAAGGTTGGTCAAAATGTGGCAGTTGCCAACGTCTTTTTCCTCTTAATTGGCCTTCAAATTTTTTGCCCTTATTCCTAATTATTGACATTAATTCCTTTTTGTAACCGTTGGAGGCTTTAGCCTTATGTATGTTTCCATATAAATGTGGTCTTCCTCTATCACAAGGTGGTAGGAAAATATACATTTTGAGAGTAAATCTTTCCACCTATATTCTATTGGTGTGCTAGGCTTTTTTCTTTAAATCTTTGTTAGTTTCTGGCTCCTAGTTTTATACTAGAAGAGCTTGTTGAATCCTAGGAGATACACTCATATCGGGTGAAATATTCTTAAGGACAATGTCTTTCGACACGCCTCAAGCTATGAGAATTTCTAATGAGAGTTATTGGTGAAGTACAAGCTTTGGTGAATTCGGTACAAGTGTTCGTGATGAAGGTATTTTCCGTAAAATTTACAAACATATCCAACATATGTTCACAATGAAAAATCAAAGAAAAACCTACTTATCCAGATGTATAATCCTTGCTTGCAGAGTATACACTTGTATATGCATTTATCTATGTTATAGCTATTCTCCATTCATGTGGGGGATTGTTGATCTAGTGTAAATTAAATGAGAAATTGAGGAAACACATGTTTTGGTGAAAGCATTTCTCCCTCATCGATAGTAGAAAGAGAAGTTCAAGTGTTTAAATAAGATAACACTTTTACTTGTTGTTAAAAAGGATTGAAAAGAGGTTCCCTCACGTCGTCGCTTGCTAGCTCGACTTTGGCTTTGAAAAATTACCGATCAAGAGATTTATTTTTGGACAATTTTTTCTTTGATTATTTAAATTAAATTTGCCAAATATCCAATCCGAACCAGATCCGTGCGCAACCCAATGAAGATTCTTTTACCGAGTTTCATTTAAATATCCCGCCCATTTTCCTTAGGTGACTGTTCTAAAAAGGTTGCAAACTTTCAAAAACAGTACTTACATGGCTATAAATACATTTGATTCCTCAATTTTTTCCTTATGAATTTTTTGAACTTCAAAATTTCCTCCTTCTATATAAATGAATTTTTTTTGGGGCAGTTCCCCCTTTGTTTGCAGTAAAGTATTTGGAAGCAGACAAGGCTGCAACTCTTTTTGTTAAACGTATATCGCCCAATAATACCAATAAGCTATGTAATCAACATCTACCTCCTCCATGTATGTTAACAGTAGTCATGTCAGCCACTATCTTGAACTAACGCATATTAAGCTATAATATATTACTATCCTTTTGTACCTAAAAAAAAAAGATAAGTGTCAAAATCACACATAAACTGTACCCTTTTTTGAGTTTCATATCTAAACTATTGAGAGTGTGAGTTTCATACCTAAACTATCACTTTTTAGTTTGAGAAACACACATCTCTCTTTTATACCACTCTCATCATGGTGTGTGTAATACACTCTCTCTTTTATTTAAAAAATTGTCACATCACACTCTACATGGACAAAACATTCAACCTTGAAAAAATTAAATAAATTATTAGTATTAGTTAAAAATGAAAAATAAAAAAATATTATACAAAAAAGATAATATTTCTTTTATAAAATAAAATGTAAAGTATTTTTCTTACCCCACTCTATCACTTCCTCTCACCCCCCCCCCCACCCACCCCCGGCCATTTTTTTTTAAGTTTCTTTTTTTGTTTAAATTTCTTATATAAAAGTATTTAATTTTTTTGCTTCATCTCCTCCCCCCACCTCAAATACTAATTTAGATATTATTTTATTTTTTAAAAAATAATTCTACCCACCCCACCTAACCCTCCGCTTTCTAATTTTTTTTTTTCTCATTTAGTATTAGATGTATACATATCGGAAATATTGTTTACTTGCCGCCGCAAGACTTTTTTTAATTTTTTATTTATTTATGTTATATTCGTACACTAATAGAAAAAAAATTCTAAAAATATATGTACGTACATATCTAATACAAAATGAGAAAAATATAAAATAAAAATTAGGAGCGGAGGGTTAAATAGGATGGGGTAGAATTTTATTTTTTTTAAAATAAAATAATATCTTTTTTTTTTGGGTGGAGGGGGATGAGTGGGTGGTTTTTGTTTTTTGGGAGGGGGGAGGGTGAAGTATGAATTTTTTTAAAATATTTTATAATGGATTATTTTTTTAAAAAAAGATGGGGAATTGTCGGGGGGGGGGGGTGGTACGTTGAGGAGGTGGTGGAGTGGGGTAAAAAAAATCATTTAATTTTTTTTTATGTATAGTAATACTTTAATCTTTAATTTTTTAATTAATATTAATAATTTATTATTTAATTTTTTGTCAAGTTGAAATATTTTATCCATGTGGAATGCCATGTGTCAAGTTTTTTTCAAATAAAAGAGAGAGTGCATTACACACCACTTATGTGTGTTTCTCTAACTAAAAAAATGATAGTTTATGTATGAAACTCATACTTTCAATAGTTTATGTATGAAACTAAAAAAAAAAAAAGATAGTTTAGATGTGTTTTTGATATTTATCTCAATTTTTTTTTTATCTTTTTTAATTTTTATTTTTTTTGTGTTTTGTTGTTTGTTGAGCGGGTAAAATACAATCGAAGGGATCATTATTAACTTTGTTTTGCAAACTAAAGATGAGTCATATAATGATGTGGACCAATATAAAATTGTCATTTGTTTAGTTAAATTTCATGTCATATGTCTGCTAATTAGTGGGCATTTTTTAACCTAAAGAAAATGTTAAGGATATTTTTAAACTAATAAATGAAAAGAGGACATTTTTGAACATTTTCAATAGGTTTATGAATATTTTTGAACCTTTTCCCAAAAATTAAAGAGGGCAATTAAATAGGAAAAATATCTTGGCGTGGCATTATTTAAAAAAAAAAAAAAAGTGGAAAAGAGTAAAACGGCACTGTGTCTGTACTTACACGATAAGCCTGGTGATATGCTCGAATGTTCATGACCTTAGGGATTTTACTCTACTCTCTCTCTTTACTTTTTAATTTTTAGGTACCAAAATATCTGAAAAAAAAGAAAGTAAGATTTTCCATTTTCACAAAATTTAAAGGATAAGTTGGAGGTTTTCATCATGGGGACTTACAGTTGCTTTTTTTGGTCTAAAAATGAGGGTTGAAGAGCATTTATCATATATTTAAAATTTTCTGGTTTGGATTTGCTGATTATGGCTTTGGAGTTTTCAAAGTTGTGATATAAGGAAGCAGAGATTTGGGTAATATTCTTCAACTTTGAACTTAGCTGCTCCTTGGAGTTGCCCTTTTTCACATTTTTGGTTTTTTGTAAATTATAGCTAAGAAAGAAGCAATTGTTGAATGTATTCAAGATGCTACAACAATTCTTTATCTTGGAAAATTTGTTTTTTCTCCAATGCCATTTTAGCTAATTATTGAAGATATTTTGCTGATTTGAAGATGAAAGAAAGGGTTTTTATCCATAATTTGATTTTATGTGAAACAAGGAGCTGATCTACCCTTGAAGGAGTACAAAACTCTCAGATCCAACAGTTGTCTAGATTTCATGTTTTCTATTCAAGAAACAACAAATGGTAAATGAATATATTGTATTGTTGGTGTTGTATACAGACACAAACACCAAAACAACAACATTTAATCATCTATTTTATTAATGGAATTTAACTCCCACTGGAAATAGTTTATTTTTTTAATTAAATAAAATTGTCATTCTGTATTTTATTTCTTTTGGGTTGTGTAGTTATCTTCTCTCTTTTTGAGAATAGCAATAACAAAATTGTCATTCTTTAATTACACACACAAAAAAGGCTCTCCACTCTATCCTTCAAAGACTTTTCTTTTTCTTCTTAGATTAGCTACCTATTTATTTAGCTTTTACTCATAAACCACATCTGTCCAAAAGTTTATATCTAAAGCCCTATGAAAAGCTAGAGCATTTGATGCTTCTTCCTTTTCTTTTCTTTTTTAAAAAATAAATTAATTTTGTGGGCTTGTTGATTTTTTGTGGCTATGGTTTTGACTGTTTTCCTACAGTGTAACAGGGCTGTGATGCTGAGATGACACAGGCCTTTGTTTTTGAAAGCACTGCAAAAAGAAGCCTTCTTTTCTCTCTACTTCTGACATTTAAACAAGCCCTATCTGTAGTTGAATGTGATATATCAGACCTCAAAAAACACTTTTTTTTTGACTACTCTTTACATGTGTGTACTCATATGGATTTATCATTATAAAAGTCTTTTAAGTAGTGTGTAATCATGATTAATGCAAAGGACATCTACAGTCCTCCAAGCCCAAGAAGGTACCCCCTACACCAGCTCATAGTTTTATCTACTTGTATTTTTTTTCTCCATCTTGGAACCCTAATTCAAGTCCCAAATCCACACAGGAAAAAAATAATAATACCCTTTTGAACTCAAGAAAATTTGGGTAAACCAATAAATTTTGAAAGGTGGGTGTTTTCTTGATTTTGATTTTTTTTTTTTGTTTGTTTGAGAAAGGTATGAAAGTTGTAGTATGGAGATGGAGGAGATTCAAACTGATGAGTGCAAGTTTCCAAGAATGAGCAACAAGGAGGATGAGCAGTACCAAAAATATGATGTAGATGATGTAGGAGAAGTCAAAAGGAGTAGTGGACTTGGTGGGATTGTAAAATTTTATGGTCGGCCTTCATCAAGAATTGTTAGAGTTTCTCGTGCATCTGGAGGGAAAGATAGGCATAGCAAAGTATTGACTTCAAAGGGGTTAAGAGATAGACGTGTTCGTCTTTCTGTCAATACTGCTATACAGTTCTATGATTTGCAAGACCGTCTAGGCTGTGATCAGCCCAGCAAGGCTGTCGAATGGCTGCTAAAAGCGGCCGCTCCTTCTATTGCTGAGCTTCCACCTCTTGAGGCATTTCCAGATACACTGCAGCTCAGTGATGAGAAAAGGTCAAGTGAGCCGGGTTTTGATTCAGCTGATGTGGAAATGGATGATGATCTTAATTACAATCAGCAGCAACAACCTTGTTGTAGCAATTCTGAGACAAGTAAAGGTTCGGGCTTGTCACTTTCCAGATCTGATAGTCGGCTCAAGGCACGGGAGCGAGCAAAGGAAAGGGCCACAGAGAAAGAAAAGGAAAAAGAAAACAAGTCTTGTATTGTTGCTCAACACCACCAAAACATGCACCCTAGCTCGTCTTTCACTGAGCTATTGACCGGTGGTATGAGCGATAACAACAACAGCAACACAAGTCCTAATGGCAACATTCACCAAAATACACCAAGGCAATGGTCTACAAATCCGTTGGAGTATTTTACCTCAGGATTATTAGGCCCATCAGCTACTCGTGGAATAGACAACTCTAGTGGCCAAATTTACTTGGGAAATCCTCTACAGCCATTAAGACCAGTGTCTTCACCAATGTTTAGTATTACGGGTGAGCATCGACCGGAGCTGCAGCATTTCCCATTTGGCGGTGACAACCTAGTCCCGGGCGTTACCTCCAGTAATACTAATACTAATAACGAGTACAATTTGAACTTCAGCATTTCTTCAACATCTGGTTTCAATAGGGGGACCCTTCAGTCCAATTCTTCCTCTACTTTGCCTCATTACCAGAGGTTTTCTCCCACAGACGGATCATATCTTGGTCCCACAACTGAATATGATGCTCGTTTACATCTCTTCTATGGAAATGGGTATGACCACGGCCACGGACATTCAGATCAGAAAGGAAAAGGAAAGAACTAAACTAACATCAACTTCCATGGTAAATTTTCAATTCTTTTAACTCACATTCTACATATAACCCAATTTTTACCTTCTAAAAAAGACTCCATTTTTATTACTTACTAAATGTGTTGTTTAGTAGGTTTATAGATTTCTTGGTTTCATAAAAAGTTACAATTGGGGCATGTGTTTATTTGTTTTTTATGATAAGGTGCACGGTTCCCTGGGAATAGAGTTGTCTGTTTGTTTGGTTTCCTTGTTGCTTAGCATGTTTGTAGCCATGGACAGGTGTTAATTGGCTGGGCTGAAAGGGCACTTTAACAATGGTGGAGGGGTTATAGTAGTAGTCTATAAGACTAGATACTACTTTTTTAAATCCCTATTTAATTTGTGTTTGTCTTTATAGTTTAGTGGATAAACACCCAACACTTGTCACTTCAACGGCGCTCTTTCTCTTCCTAACTAGGGTTGGGGCTTCTCCAGATTTAGCTAAGGTCAAATAAAATCTACTCTAAGTTATATTCATTAAATCAACTCAATATTTTCAAATTTTTTTTTATTTATATTATAGTTTGTACTAATTCTTTTCCTATTTTAGGATGAAAAATAAGTTTTAAAATTTTGGTCAAAGTTCACATGGTTTTAATGGACAACTAAAAAGTGGGGTTTCAGCTACCTCCCACTAGCACAAATAACTTATAGATAACTTGTAATTCTATCTATCAAGACTTGTAAATTCGAACTTGTAAACACATAGAGGGTGTTTGGATTGGCTTATAAGTTGTTCAAACCTATTTTTAAGTCTTTTTTTTTTCCCCAAGTGTTTGACAAATATAGAAATAACTTAAAATATGTCAAAAATAACTTTAAATAAGTTGAAAATCACTTAAAACAAGTTGAAAACCAATTAAGTTTGACTTTTTTTTATTTATTACTTAAAAAACTACTTTTTTTAAATCAATCCAAACAGACTCATAGTTTTCAACTCATTTTGTTAACCACGAACTCATAGCCTTGAATGAGTAGGCCCTATATATTACTCTTTTTTTTTGTTTATTTGTCTAATATTGACTTAGCACACTCCTCAAGAAATAACAAATAAATGACAAATTTTCTATATCATTATTTGTGTATAATAAATTCAATATTTTGGAAATACAGTTAATACCAAGGATAGATTAGAAGTTAACTGATAAATTATCTCTTAATTTTCTAAATTGAATAGATAAGAGTGAATGTAAATATTAATTGAATCAATAAGAGTATATATATATATATATATATATTTAGTATAGTAAACAAATAAAAATAGACAAACGGAGCATGTAGTAAGATAAATTTATGGCAGCCCTTTTGCAGAGAAAACTATAATAGCTGGCTGGTAAGACGTAAGAATTGTTTTAACGTATTAACTCTATAAGACTGTAAGAACTGTTTTTGTGTATTATACAAGTATTTGATTGCATTTGAAATATATATAAAACAAATATTTTGATTCTTTCTGAAAAAGGGAAAGAAAATAAATATTACATACCAAAAGACTTCAGCTAAGTTGCTTGGACTTTTCAAAAATATTGTTGTACCATTTAGATTCTTTAATAATACACTATTTTTGAAGAATCCGATATGCTACCATCGATATTTTTGAAGAGTTAAAGCAACGTAGGTTTATATGTGATATGATATTTATATTTATTATTTTTTGACAAAAATGATATTTATATAAGTATATAAAAGCATGTCTTTATTAGAGGTAAAATTGAAGTTAAAGGAGTTTTTAGACATAGAAAGATATTCTACTATTCTTTGTTGGAACAGTCCAAAATACAATAAAGTCATATGAAATGAAATAAAGTATTACAACATCACACTAAACATATGAAATTATTGTAAAACGGCATCAAAGTCTGGATTTTGGTCATTACAGAGTAAAACATTATATGTTTATTGGATGCAGTGGCGGATCTAGAATTTAGACTCCGTGTGTAACAATTTCCTTTTTCTTAAAACGTCTTTCTCAAAAAAATAGGTACAAATGGGATTCGAACCCGCAACATCAGCCTTCTAAAGTTTCCCTCCTACCGTGGCACCACAAGCCAATTTTGTTCTGTGGGTGGCACGTTTTATATAAATATAAATATTATATATATATACCTATGTATATATAGAGTTTCCGTCGAAGTTCGGGGGTGGCGTGGCACCCCCACTTGCCTTAATAGATCCGCCTCTGATTGGATGAGATATCATAAATAGAGAAAAAAAGATGTAGGTAAGGTATAATTCCAATAAATTATTTGTTCCCTCCGTCCACAATTGTTTGACAGGTATACTAAAAATAGATGTCCAAGATTAATTGTCAATTTAAACAATCAAGAAATAATTAATCACTTTTTTCCAATTCTGCCCTTAATGATAGTGTAGTTCAATTGAAAAGTTATGTGGACTTTTGGTATTCTTGATATAGTAGGATTATATTTAGTCAAATTACACCTTGTATTAAATTTTCCTTGAGGGGTGTGCATGACCTTACCCTGACAAACAATTGTGGACGGAGGGAGTATAATGTTGGCTTGACATAATTTTAAATGATGAAATATTAATTAATGAGGATTTATTAAGGGCCTCAACTTATTTGAAACTTATGTATAGTTATTACTGTTGCTAAAATGTCCAATTAAATTCACTTATAAATGAAAAGTTGAAATAACTAATTACAACGTACAATTACATGTTTCTTATAAAAAATGATTACATTATTGAGGCAATGGAATATCTCAATATTTGTGTCTTTTGTTTAATATAATTAAGGGAGAGAGCTTAATGGATAGGTAGGAGAGTAGATATAGCTAGTTATTCATAAACAATGATCTAAAGCTAACTAGGGAAACATTGTAATACTAATCTAGTGACATGCAAGAATAATATGTGGCAACCGTTTGGACATGAATCGATTGATATTTGAAAAAAATAGTATTTAAAGTTAAGCTAAAAAAAAAAATGAAAGATGTTTTGAAGATAAAATCAAGCTCATACACGATGTGAAATGAAACTGTTTAGTGTCTTTATTTTCTTGGTGCAAAGAAAACTGCATAGAGGAAGTAGATGAACTGATAGATTTCTTTGGTGCTTCGAAAAACTTAAAGTTTAACCTTTACTATCTTTGTAATTTTTGGAAGTGACCAACATTCCTTAACGTTGAAGAATACAACATTATTGATTTTTTTTTTATAAAAAAAACATTTTGATACTTTTAGAATTTGATTTTCAAACTTCTAAATTTCATATTTCAAGTTTGAAATAATAGATAAATTTGAAAGCAAATAGTTCGTAAAATTCTCCATTATTTGTTTTTTAAATGTGTAGACATTCTTTTGCTTCTTTCCTTGCCATTTTTCATTTTACAACCAAAATATGGAATTCTATTGAAATCTTAATTACCTCCTTTAATTTATTTTGCCTTTTGCTCTTTCCTTGGATATCTTTAAGTATGAGCATCTAGTGTCTATGGCTAGTCTGGCTATTGAAGTGTTTTAATATTTGGTCAAGTCCTTGTGATATAACTTACTTGTCTCTTATTTGCTTAAACTTTTTGCTATAAGTATTTGCAATAATGACTGTTATTAAAAATATAATTAATACTCTTGAGATAGGACCCCATATTACCTTCTTTTTTTTTGGGTAGGGAGGGGGGGGGGGGGGGGGGATTGGGAAATGAGGAACCATACCGCTTTTTATTTA